TTTACACAATGGAGTACTACTCAGCAGAAAAAAAACAATGGAATCTTGAAATTTGCAGGCAAATGAATGGCACTAGAAGAAAACCATCCTGAGTGAGGAAACCCAGTCACAAAAAGACAAGCATGGTATGTACTCACTCATATATGGATTTTAGACATGGAACAGGGCATTGCTAGCCCACAATACCACCGCCAGAAAGTCTGGGGTACAGGGAGGACCCTCAGAGAGATATGCATGGTAACCCGGAAAATGGTTAGGGGATGTGATCTCCTAATTGAATTGGGGGGGAGAAGGGGAGGGCAGATGGAGATGGGAGAAAAGAGGAGGGGAGAGGAGGACATGGGAGAGTAGGAAGGTTGAGCCAGGTTAAGAATAGAGGAGAAAAGGATGGGAGATACCATAAAAGAGGGAGCCAGTATAAGTTGGAGGAGAGATCTAACACTAGTGAGATCTTCACAGATCTACAAGAATGACACCAATTGGCATTAAGGCTGCCTTAAATGCCCTCCCATGATAATGAGAATGATGACTACCTTATATGCCATCCTAGAACTCTCATCCACTGGCTGATGGAGGCAGAGGCAGACACCCATAGCTGTGAACCAAATTGAACTCCTGGAACCCAGTTGGAAAGAGGAGTGATTACCAAAGGAATCAGGATCAGGCTGGCGAAACCCTCAGAGGCAGCTGACCTAAACAAGGGGGAACACATGGACCCCAGACTGATGACTGAGGGGCCAGCATGGGACTTACCCAGACATCCCTCCCACCAAACCTGGGTGACAAAGAGGAGACCTTGGCAATCTGTGGGACCTTAGAGAGTAGAGCAGTATTTATTCCTGGAATACAGAGGGACTCTGGGAACCCATGCCACGTGGAGGGACACTCTCTTAGCCTGGACACATGGGGAAGAACCTGGGACTTTTCCTGGGATGATGTGACAGACTCTGAAAATCCCTCACGGAGGCCCTTGCTCCCCCCTGGGGAGCGAAGGGGGGAATGCAGTGGGGGTGAGGGGTTGGGAGGATTGGAGGATGGGGAAGGAGGGGAGGGAGAGGGAACTGAAAGTGACATGCGTAAAAAGTTAAATAAAAAATGGGAAAAAAAGAAAAAAAATGAAACCTCAGAGAAAGGAAAGGACTTCAAAGCGCAACTTTGTTACAAGTTGTTATGTCGCAGTTCCATAACAGAAATCTGACCATGGCTGAGGTAAGCTCTATTGAGATTGGGTGGGTCAGAGGCAATAGGGCCTGCCTTTCTGGCCCAACCAAGTAGATGGCCATGATCTCTATTCATGGGGTACCGACCCTGTTATGGATGGTAGAAGCCCTATGCTGTTCATTTCTGACTCCCTCTTTGCTGGGCTTTTAGCCTGATGCCATTGGTCACTTGGTCTGAATCACTACCCTCCTTCTCATCTGTTAGGCTTGGTTTCTTCCTTGTCTGCCTCAGAATTCCAAACATTCCTTTGTTAATCCTGAACATTCCTTTAAACCTTAACCCCTATTCGGGCCGATATGTGAACAATTCAGTAGTTTTTTATAGTGGCTGCTTTCCTCTTACCTCCTGCTTCAGAGCCACCTTAGTTACTCCTGGCTAGGAAACAGCTACTTTTGATTGGTACTTATCAGGCACAATAGAGTATTTGCAACTCTCAGCTGCTGGGTCCAACTTGTCCACAGGATCCCCCATACCACCTTTCCCCAGAGCACAGAAAGCCCCTTATGATGATTTCACATCCGAGATGATGGAAGACATCACCTTCACACCTTGTCCATGCTGCTTCAGGCCTTCAGAGTACCTTTCTGCAAACTCACCAGGTCCCGTCACGTCCATTCCCCACGGCGCTTGCACATCGCCTTGATGGAACCCTAGCCCATCACAAGGCAGAAGCCGGACTTTTCCTCGCCCATCGGGGTGGCGTGGCATACACACGAGCCAGCTTCCTAAACATCACTCGGTAAGCTCTGACACACCAGGACTTTTGGAACCGCAAAATCATCCCAAAGGCACGTGACACTCCCCCCCCCCCCTTACCTGAAAGCTCCCTGAAAGCACCTACCTGTTAGTCATACCTTGGGACTTGATGCAGGAGGAACCAAGAACAAGGCTGACTTTTAGGGTAATGCTGGGCAGACCTCCGCCAGAAACTCACACAGTTTGACTCCGAGGTCTCAAGCAAGTTCTCTCGCCTACCCCAGACAGTCTGTAAGAACTGGCCCAGAGCACAAGCGGAGTATACCGAGGAGGAGCGATTCCACAAAATCTAAGCTATTGCAAGGCAGAAGCGGGTCTTGAAGGCTGGGCGAGTAGCAGACTAGGAAACATCAGGAGACCTGGGAGTTTTATAATAGGGAGATACCCAACAGCTGCTGGAGAAAAGTGAGGAAGGGGTCCAGGAAACCTGCTCAGGAAATGCAGGTTAGTGGCCATGGCGCAGAGGGTCAGCGGTGGACAAGTGTGCGCGGTCTGTATACGGACTCCCAGCTTACAGTGTAGAGCCGGGAGGACCACCCAGCATCCTTCGTGTACCTCCACCCAGCTCCCAGCTTACAGTGTAGAGCCGGGAGGACCACCCAGCATCCTTCGTGTACCTCCACCCAGCTCCCAGCTTACAGTGTAGAGCCGGGAGGACCATCCAGCATCCTTCATGTACCTCCACCCAGCTCCCAGCTTACAGTGTAGAGCCGGGAGGACCATCCAGCATCCTTCGTTTACCTCCACCTAGCTCCCTCGAATATCCTGTCTTTTCTACATACCTGCAAGTTGTATCAGGACTCCAGAAGACAGCATGGTATTTTTATTTTGCCATTGCTTTTATTTTTGTGATGGTGCGGGGAATTGAACCTAGGGCCTTGGGCATGCCAGGCAACGGTTCTATAACTGGGCTATCTACCTAGCTGACTTTTAAAACATAATTAACATGTTGTTTTTGTCCATTTTAGTAAGAGTAATACTATACTCATTAATTTTCCCCCTAATACATTACAAATAGAAATACTTCGGTTTGAACGTGGCCTTTGCATCTGCTTCCAAACAAGAACATTCTTCACACCTTTAGGGGATGCGTGGAAGGCCAGAGGAAAATTGAGGGAAGATTAGCATTCTGGCATCACCTGCTGACATCCTCCCACAAGCCCTTCCACACCTGGGGTCTCAGGGAGACCCCTTAATACCTTGTTGCACCTACACACCCGCAGCCATCTGCCTCACTGGGCCCCACCCACCTTCACTGCTTCAGGTGTCTGAAGCACCAGTACCGAGGCTTGACTCCAGCCCTCCAGCTGTCAAAGGGGCATGGGAAACCGCACAAAGAATGGGCAGAGGGGAGCTGATGCTCAAGGGCACCCACACCGGCTCAGAAACTGTCCTCTATTGGGTGAGACCCAGACAAAGTGAGCAACCAGCCTTGCGGTGGCTTTTCCCTCGTGGGTAGAGACTTAGATCATCCATGGCTACTCAGAGGTGGATGCTTATTGCTCTCTCAACCAATGGTGAGTGAAAGAGGCTGGAGTCTGAAAAAGGGGAGTGAGAGTGAAGGACTCTTAAAGCGGCCGGTAAGAGCAGTGTATATTTTCCATAGGGTAGGAGAAACATCTTTCAAAGGCAAAGATAGTGAAGACAACTTTGTCGTGAGCAGAAATAACACCTAGAAACCTGAGACTTATCTTGTTCCTAAGGCCCTTTGATCTTTTGTGGATCATGGCCAGAAACTCAGTTTAGGAGCATATCCTGTTCTTTGCCACTCACAAGCAATGGATCTATCTGGCTTACCTGAGCTTCCATGTTGTTTAACACAGGGTCTCATATACCCCAGGCTGACCTCAAACACCCTTGTAGTTAAAGACAACCATACTTCTGTTCCTCCTCCCTCCAATGCAGATTTGCCTGGTACTGGTGATGGAAACCGTACTAGGAAAGTATCCTACTAACTAAGCTACACACAGAGCCCAAGAGATTCCATAACTTGATTTGTAAAATAAACACACCTTTCATAGGATAGTATAATGTAGCATGACACAAAGTGTCCCGTAGCCACTAAATGGAAACTTGTTGGCATGAAGGGTTCTAAGTACAATGACATCTGCCTTGGGTTCTCCCACATTCACATACCTACAAATGACCTGTTGCATGCCCTAAAACTGTCCCACTTAAGGAAGCAGTACTATCTCCCTATTTCATGTGTCCAGGTATATTCAAATACTCTTGGTATAGATAGCTTCTATAGTTACTAACACACTTGAATTAGCCTTTGGAATTTTTTCCCAGGTAAAGCACAGTGATTCTGGGTGTTTGGGACTGGTGGGAGCAAGAGCTGTAAACAAATTAGGTAACTTCTCTAGGAAATTACCTGCTGGAATGATCCCTTCTTTGATTTTTTTCTGGCACAACATGTGATCCCAAAAGATTACAAGTACTTCAGAAATGGAGGAAATTTTTTTTTATTATCATCATTGCATTTGGGCATGCACATGCACCCCCTACCACAGTGTACCTGGAGAGGTCAGAGGACAAGCAGGAGTTGAGTAATGGTTCACTCCTTCTGCTGTGCGTTCCAGGGATCCAACTCAGCTTGTCAGGCTTGTGTATGGCAGCTGAGCTATCTTGTTGGCAATGTTTTTCTTACTGATGAGAGTAACTGCATAACTTCAAAACAACTCAAGAATGCTAGCAGTTTCTACCACTAACTTAGTTTTATCTATTGTTGGTACCACTTTTTATCTGATGAAACAAGTCAGATGGTTTTGCCTTGATGTAGATAGCAGTACCAGGCACAGGTCAAGGTAAAGATGTAAATGCCCTCATTTAAAGATGAACCACCTCAGTATGGATTTTTATTGATCAGTGGATGGGTGGATCAAGCTAGTCAAGTGCTCTATCACTGAGCTACTTAGAGTCATGAATATTGTAACCTAGTCTCCAGCATCATTTTTATTTGATGAGTTTCCCTTAAATTATTTCCCTGTACATTTCTTTTAAATAATTCTTATAACAAATAATAACTGTGATATTTTTTATTGAGTATGCCCTTAAGGACATCAGAAAACTCAAATGTCTCTGAAATTTGCAGTTCCAAAATTAGAATGTTTATATGAGACACAAAGATCTTTTTTAAATATATAACCAAAGAATTAAAGTTATTTACTCAGAGATTGCTTGTTCCTCAACAATAGGTTCCTCACCAAGTTCTACGTCAACCATGGGCTCCTCACTCATTTCCACAATGGGCGCATTCTCACTGACGAGTTGCTCATCCAACTGCTCAGGAGGGAGGAAAGTTTCTGTCTCCTCTGGAGGAAGGAAGTCTGTCTCCTCCATGGGAGGAAGGAAAGATGGCTGCTCGGCAGTAAAGAAAGTTGTTTCTGGCTCCTCTGTTAAGACTGTTTGATCAGAGCTTGCAGAAAAATCCATAGATTTAGATTTTGACTTTTTTGAGCCGGATCGTCTCACTTCTGAAGAAGCATTGCCCCAATAAGAGCTGCTCTCTGCACTTTTCGAAAAAGATGTATCAGATACACCTTCTGACGGGTGGAAATAAGACAGAGTTGCCAGCTCTGGGTTGACAGAGTATTGACTTTCATAATGTTTGTTACTAGAAAGAAGAGAATACACACCGGAGGTTACCTCTAGTTGTATATACTTGTAACTCAAATCAAAACAGTTAAAATAGAAGTGGATCCTGTCCAATGTATTAGATAATTAATGAAAAAGGGAAAGGTTTTCTTTCATTGTAGTTGTATTTAATCCTTGTGTAAATGAACCACAAATGCCTGGTGTATACAGCCTGTCTCAAATCTCAATATTAAAATTTAAAAGCCAACAATAAAGGTTGCCTGAATCCATAAATGCTTACAAGAAACATAAAATGAAGCTGAGTTAGGGCAAATAAGCATTTAACATTGCAAGTTTAATGGGTCGGAGAAGTTACCTCATCAAAGCACCACAGTCAAAGAATAAATATAAAAGTTAACATAATATATTTCTTTTTATTTATTCTTTTTTCATAAAATACATCCCAACCACAGCCTTCCCTCACTCCACCCCTCCCAGTACTCCCCCACCTCCCCCTTTCCCTCAGATCCACTGCTCCTCAATTTCCCTTCAGAAAAGAGCAGGCCTCACAGGGATAGCAACAGAACATGGCACAAGTTACAATGAATCTAGGTATAAACCCTCATATCAAGACGGATGAGGCAATCCAGTAGGAGGAAGAGGGTCCCAAGAGTAGCACAAGAGCCAGGGATACCCAATTCAACCTGTTAGGAGTCATTTTTTTTTAATTTTTCCAGACAGGGTTTCTCAGTGTAGTTTTGTTGAGCAGGGTGGCCTCAAACAGAGATTTGCCTGCCTCTACCTCCTGAGTGCTAGGATTAAAGGTGTGTCCACTGCCCAGCCTAGGAGTCATATTTTTACAAGAAAAGATAAAGATTCTTTTAGACAAATTTCTAGGCCTCAGGGCATAAAAGTGACAGATTTTCTGTTTCTTTCAAGGTCTTAAGCAAAGTTCCCCAAAATTTAAAACATTAAACCCCAAGAAAACGAGCAAATTAGAAGAGAATAAATGGCCTTTGTGCTCCAGGGCTGTTTTTCAGAAATGCAGAGGGATGAAGCATTATCTCTATATCCTTCCTAATGAACTGTGAGTTTATGGCTATTTAAAATACTGGGGGCAAATACAGTAAGACAGTCCCTGAAACAGGGCCCGTGTTTCTATTGCATAAAGGGAGTGGATTTGAGCTGCATATCTTATATATATTATTGAGGAGGGTACACATTCCTATCAATCCACTAAAAATAGGAGGGCAGGAACATGACCTTGCGGACTAGTACTGAAGACTTCGGAGGCCAGGAGGCTTACCTTAGGTATCTCAGTTTGTACAGTGTGGCAAAGCAAAATATCAAGAGGGGAATTAAGAGGATTAGGGTCATCAGTGAGATTCCCAGCATTAATTTGAGCTTGATTCCCTCTAGCTCTGATAGTTTGTCTTCGTTGGTAGTGTTCAAATCAGAGCCTGGGATTAAAGAAAGAAAATGCAACAGAAAATTGAGTGTTGTACATGTTTTTCTTGAGGACTAAGAATAACAGAATATATCTGAAGTATTCAGAGTTCACTTTTTTTTCATTCATATACACAGCTTTTCTCTCAGTCCTCACAACAATCTTGGAGGAGATGTGCTTAACGAAATTTTATATACTCACAGAAACTTGCAAATCTTCTGCTAGTCAAAATGTGGTTTTAAGCCCAAGCTACCCATGACAAAATTTTTGTGTAGCAGCCTTTCTTATTCACTTTACAAGAAACCACTTCAAGCAACTTATCATCTCTGAAGAGGTTATTAGCACAATTTACAAGGTACTAGAGTTCTACAGAAAGGAAAGGTGTTTGCCCTGCTGTTGAGCACACACTGGTTATTCTTTTGAACTAGAAGTGTGTAATATTGATAGTTTCCTCTATATAAGGCCTATAAGGCTTAGGAGATAAGTTTGCCATTTTGTTACCAGGACAATTAAACAGTGTGTTTGATGTTACAAGAGGAAATAGAAACGATTTTTTTTAGATTCCTGAAATGAGTTAAATCACAAAATCATGTCTGGCTCTAAAACATTAAGAATCTAATAAAATCCGATGAAAATGTTTTCTTACTGTCAGATTTTGGATGTTCATGAGGACACATCTGACTTAAAATACATTTAATGCTGACAGCTCCCTTCTTACAGATCTCCCATGCCCATTCACAGTGTTCCCAGGGCTTTCATTACTTTGTAGGTAATACTTAGGTAATAATCAATGACAGATAGAGATTCCCATGTCAATCTTCTCTGACTTTTAATCATGTTAATTATTGTGCCTGGGATATAGTCAAGTAGAGCTCTTGCTAGCATGTTGAAAGGTCAAGGTTCAGTCCCTAATACCAACAAAGAGAAAAAATGTATTATCTCAGTGTGGTCTTAAACCAAGTGGATTAAACTGTGTACAGTAGTCAATGACTATTATTGGACTTTGAGACCAATTTGGGAATAATCAAGTGAGAGGGGTAAACTAAACTCAAGGGCTTCACTTCTAATAATTTAGAAATAAAGAGAGCAGACCCTCACTCAGCCCCCTGCTTTAGCAGCCATGGCAGGCTACAGAAAAGACACATAGGCCTCTGACACAAGGAAACTCCAGATCCTCTGGCCTCTCGGAGTCTAGGGTCAAAACTGAAAACAAAGAAACTCCAGACACCCACCCCTCAGCCTCCTAGATGCTTGGTTCCTGGGAACTGTTTGGCCACAAAAGAAACTCCAAGGGAGACCAAAACCTCCCCTATAGTCTCCAAGATATATTTCTGGAAACTATGGGTATCTGTGTACAACAGGCCACCTACAAGTAACAAGACAATGCTATAGAAACCACAGAATGTTCCCTCTCAGCACTGGCACAGGTATTTCATGCCAAAATATGACTTTGAGAAATTTTCCTGATTGTTCCCAAATGTCAGCCAATCAGAAACAACCTGTACCTACTGGTGTAATCCTGTAACTTTTGTCTATAAAATTTAGCAGTAGACAGGGAACTTCACTCCCTCTGGGGGCTGCTGCGTCAGTTTGCTAGATGGGGTCCCTGTCATGGGCAGATGAACAATCATCAAACCTTGCTTTTGCAGTTTAGTGGATCTGTCTTCCTGTTGGTCTCTGGGGACTTTGCAACTTGGGCACAAAACAAGTAGATTATATTAAAATGAACTACTCCTCTTAAATGCACATCTAGTTCTTAAAGCCTTTTTTTTTTTGAGACAGGATCTCATTATATAGCTCTGGTCACCCTAAAACCCAGCTCCCAAGAGTCTTTATAACTAGGTAATTCTTGGAGTTAACTCAGAGATCCTCTATCTGCTGTTCTGTCTTGCAGAAATCAAGCTACAATCCCTGTCTGCGAGACAGAGACAGCAAGAGACAGAGAGAGAGAGAGAGAGACAGACACAGAGAGAGATAATTACAGAGAACTGTTGTGACCTTGTAGCTCTCACTGAGTTCTTTGCTGACCATTCTCTCTTGCATGTAAGCAAGCACTGTCTCCTCACAAGACAAACTTGAACCATAATTCTTCTCTCTTGACTAGAGCCTTTCCCTCTGACAGGGGCTGCATAGGCTGATGGAATGGAAATTTATCCTCTACCCAGCCCTAAAGCTGTAAAGTCAGATACTGTAGCACAAAATGTAAAAAGACCCAGAGACTGATATTGGGGTTCAAGTTTCAAGCTGAAGATCAGGGAAGCAAAGCAGCCAAGCCAATAGCTCTTATGTCTACCTCAGCTCAGACCAAAGGGGAGATCCTCAGATTGCTCCTCAGATTCACTCACACTGCTGTGCTCTCCTCAAAGGGGCTAATCCTGAGGCTGAATGCATCTACCGTTTTGTACCTCTTGAGAACTAGGATTAAAGGCATGAGATCCCAAGTGCTGAGATCACTTTTGTGTGAGCTGTTTCTCTTTACAACTGGATCGGTTTCGTGTAGCTCAGTGTGGCCTTGAATTAACAGAGATCCATCTACCTCTATCTCCTGAGTCCTGGAAGTAATGATGTGTGCCACCTCTGCCTGGAATGCTAGTATAGCTGCTGGGGTTAAAGGTGTATATCACCATTGTCTGACCTCTATGGCTTGTGGCTGACTTTTGCTTTATGAATCCTCAGGCAAGCTTTAATAAATCGTAAATAATATATCACCCAAGATACTCCGGATCTAAAGGAAGCTGATAAAACTGAAGGGTCTTGTCCTTTAAAGCTCCTTATAGCTGCCTATGGTCAGGGTACTGTATCTCTCTTGATATTCCAGAAAATGAAGGGTCTATGTCCTTTCAAGGTCTTATCATGACTACCTGACTATGGGCCAAGATGATATCTCTCCTAAAATTGCTTTTCACTTCAGGGCCTCCTCATGACTGCCTAGGACTCTCCTAACAAAGGACATCTAAAAGATAGTTTGCCATAGACTCCCTTTCCTACAGAGCCCTCACTCTTCCTAACATAGCGCATTTACCAAAGTCAAGGTCAGAACTAGAGGAGGGTTTACAATGTCTAACCACTGGGAGTTATAAAAAGTTAACTGCAGGGTTGGGCTGCCTTTTGCTTTATGCCTCAATTTCTTCATAAAACTGACTTGGTGGAAGAAATGATATAATGCGGCTAAACACCAGAATACGAGATATATAATGTGTCTTCAATAAATGGTAGAAAACTAGTCAACTCCAAGTTCAGTTGCTTAAATGCTAAATAGAGAGATGATAACATATTTCTAAGGTGACTCACCATTTATCATCCCTGTACATAAAGAAAAAAAAAAGACTCATTCCATTTTCTTAAAGCAACTCCAAGGCAAGGGCTATGTTTGTCAAATAATTCTCTATAGAACTAAGCAGATAAGCCACCAAAATGATCTATTTCCCAATTATTTACTTGTAGGATAAATGGTTTGAGAAAAATTAAAACATTGCCTTTCAATTAGGAGTTTGGTTCCTGGTACCCAAGTCAGGAGGCTCCAGCTCCAGTTCCAGGGGATCTGACACCCTCTTCTGGCCTCCACAAGCACCTGCACACACACACACACACACACACACACACACACACACACACACACATAATCTTAACATCACAAAAAGTAGAAACCAAAGAAGGGTGGGATAAGGGAATTCTGTACTTTTTGATATTGTTTTCTTTAAATTTAAAACTTCAAGTAAAGCCTATTTTTAAAAGAATATATATATGTATATATTACAATGTGTGCATGTGTGTGTGTGTGTGAGAGAGAGAGAGAGAGAGAGAGAGAGTGAGGGAGAGAGAGAGAGAGAGAGAGAGAGAGAGAGAGAGAGAGAGAGATGTACATATCTTAATCTGTTTCAACATTGTAAGTCAGAAGACAAGGAGGGGAAAACAGTTATTTGTAAAAGGGCAACAAGAATACTTGGTAAGTATAATTTGTCTAATGTAGTCAATGTCCTCCTTGATGTGACATTAACCACCTGCACTCTCCCACATTCACTCACTACCCTTTGCTTTGAGACATTGTTTCACAATGAAGCCACTAAAATTCAAGTGATATTCATGTATCTGTTAATTGAAGTACTTTGACCTTACCTGGAATTGCTTGAAAGAATTGATCTTTACCATTCAAGGTCACTGATGTTCCATTTATAGCTGTTAAAACAATATGTTGATGTTGTAAGTAATATTCACTTACTAAAATTTTTGCATGTGTGTAAAGGTATGTATATAGTATGTGAGTCTGTCATTATTCATTGTAGTCTTGTTTTATAAAGGGAACATCTCTTTAACTTATGTTCGAAAGAGCTTATCTAATACATGTGTATTTTCTATAAGGTCCATTATAGTATTTAGGGATATTAACAAATCATTTAATACTATGCTTAGGAGCCAGTTCAAGGTATGACTGTCAGGCTCCAGTCAGGCAACTAAAAACATTTGAAACTGTGTCAATATCAACAAATGATCTTGAAGGTTCTACAAATATTTTTATGTTAACAGAGATCTTAGTCTCAAGTAGGTAATACTGAATGTAAATAAACAATATACAAATAATAATGGTCGAGTGAATATGTATATTTTATTTTTTATAATACACGTATATGACACATACATTACATATGTTAATGTGTACTTCTGTATCTGCACAGGATATATGCATGCATAGATTGATCTGTGCATTGTACTCTGTGTGTGTATTTGTGGATTCATGCTATATACATTACTTTCATGCACAAACAAACACTGATGCTTTAAACTTATATGTGCATCTTTGTGTGCTTATGCACATGCTGCCCCAAACATGTAGGGACCACACTGAGCAAAACCCTTGCTTAAAATGATGAATCATGCACTTAGTTGAGTGGTTTTTGATCTGGGATCATCTGTTTCTGGAGTCAAGGTTACAAAACAGGAAGATTATCATAGTTACTTACAACACAAGGGAAAGAAAACCAACTCCCCTATACCAGCGAGTATCCTCTTTGATTTTAAGATACACTCTAGACTATAATATTTGCAGGAAGGTGTACTTTTGGGTGCAGAAGAAGCAGAAACTGAAGCTTCATTTTCCTGCATATTACATTTGCTATTACAAGGGGCAGTAAACATGAACTTATTATTATCGTCAGAAATATTTGGACCAGTCTTGTCTTTCTTATCTAAAATGTCAGAAAATTAATATAAATGTAAATGTTAGAAATATTTCCCCAGTTACCCAACTGAATGAATTTACCTTTAGCTAACATTGTCCAGAATGCAGGCACATTGGGGGTTGATGCTGTTCAAAGGAGATAATAGGTAACAGGTGAGAATCTATTGTCTGCAATTACACACTCACTCAAAATCCTTAGGAGAGTTATCCTGGATTGTTATGGCTTCACAAATACTTTATATGGAACAATGATCTTGGCAAGAAAATAGAATGGTGATTTTGAGTTTGTAACCTCCCATTCCCAAGACCCTCCCTCAAATAATCTTAGGAAACATTAATCATTTTGACCAGAGATACATTTATTCCTTAATCAAATAGAAAAACTTTACATTGCCATAAAATATTAAAATATACCCAATATTCTTATCATAGCTAGATCTAATATTTAATGAATATATTATATATACTTATATGTCTATTTAAATATTTGAAAATTCAGTTCCTATGGCTGCTCCAGTTCCTCTGAAAATGGACTGTTACATATTTGCCACTTAAAAGACTCCAGGGTGACTCTACATGATAGCAGTATAGATTCTTTAGGCATGCTATTCATTTATGTCATGTTCAGAGCAGCGAAAGCTAATAGCATAAGTCATGTAATAATATGCTCCAGATATCAATACAGTGTAGTAGTTTTAATACTTTGCATATTTTTACGAGAGGGTTCATTAGATTTGTCTTCATCTTCATCGGCAGATTTTTCAGTTGTAGTTGTATTGAGGAGTTTATCTAGGAAAAGAGATAAAGCATTTTCAGCATACTAAAACATTGGCCAAACATCTGGAGTTTCCATATTTTAAGACTACAAAATGGAACAAGGCAAGGAGAGAACAAAGGAAAAGGAATAGTGTTTTTTATCATAAATGAAGAGTGAGAAGGAAGACAATGGAGAATAGTGTTTATGGGATGCCCAAAAAGGGACTAATATGTCTGTGCTCCACAAAAGAAAGGAAAAGCACAGAACTCAGGCCTTTAGAGGTAATGATGAACTATTGGCAAAGATAGTTGTAGGGAGCTTTGGCAGGCTCCCTACAAAGTACTTAGCATAAATCTTAGCATAAATCTCAGCCTAGGATGTGTCCATGTGGTCACATCACTGACTGTTTGGACAGTATTCATTTTTGTTGTTGTTGTTTTGGGGTTTTTGTTTGTTTGTTTTGTTTTTCAAGACAGGAATTCTCTGTGGCTTTGGAGGCTGTCCTGGAACTTGCTCTGTAGACCATGCTGGCCTCGAACTCACAGAGATCCACCTGCCTCTGCCTCCCCAGTGCTGGGATTAAATGTGTGCACCACCAACGCCTGGATTGGGCTATATTAATTAACTGAGCAAACTAAGGTCCATATGGGATACCATCACACTAAAGAGAGATTTCTATGGAGGCACCAAATGAATCCACAGAGCCTACAAATCTATCACAGGTATCCTGTTAATGAGAAAAGGTAGGAAAGGGAACCTATTACTGAAATAAACATTCAGACAGGACTCAAAACAGTTGAATAATCCAAGCTACAAAGGAGAAGAACATCCAAGTGCTTCAGTTTACCCCACTCTCCAAGGAGCATTGGAGATTAGGTTCAAGCAATTTAACATTAGTGAAAGCTATCCTAGAGCTCACTGTTTGACAGGCTAGCTCTTCTGGAATGTTCTTACAAGGCCCAGTTGTGGGGTTGGAATCTAGGGCTTGGGATCTCCTCCTTAGGTTCTATGGTTTTCTGTAACTCATATTATAGGAAGTCTGAGGTGTCTGGGATGCTGAAGAGTCAGCTAACTTACCTCACACAACTCAAGACGTTTGCTCTATACAAGCAAGATGCCTCTGGTAGTTGAACTAAGTTCATCCTGAAAGTGTGACTGCCACAAGGCTTAGAATTGCTCAAATGCCCCATTATTGTCAAGTAAATTTATTAAGAATTAGACATTAATGAGTCTGTCCCAGGATTGAAATTACCATAGCCAGAAAGAACCACTTTTTGCTATTTCACACCATTCAAAGTATAAAAAAGGAAAAGAAATCCTACAAATATGGGTTTGAGATGAAGATAAGTAAAGCCTAGAGTCCTAAATTTAATGTTTCTTTCTATGGAAACTGGAAAACATAAGCTTTAGCAGTGAAAGAATCCATCTACTTCTTCCATAACAGTCACTGTAACGGTCATGGAGCTTCACAAAAAAATGTTGTGGAAGGAAATTTAGGAAAAACAAAAACAGGAGATGACATAATTCTGCTGGCTTCCAGAAGCACAAGATGGGATCTGGAGGGGAACCCTCACCCCTTCCTGGTGCTGTTCTGGAATCTTTCCCTAGGGCTGTGCATGTGTTGCATGAATGTGCATTCAGTACTTACAGTTCTTCAGAGCAAACTTCAGGTCAGTTGTGGCTCTCACAGATATTTCAGAGTCGCTGCCATTTGTATTTTGTGTGGTAAACACATCTACAAACATAAAATCACAAGTCTGTAGCAACCAGTAAATCACTGCTTGTCTATTATATTCTTTACTTCATGACACTTTTTTAACTTTAAAAAGTATCCCCTGAATAACATAATTATAAACAAAAAATATGACCTTTTCTTTTTCAAAGGAAGTGGACGGAACAAAGGACAAGCTGAAAACTCATAAGTAAAAAGAAATCAATTATTTTATGATAAATAATTTTGAGAAACACATACTGAGGAAATCAATTTGTAGGCAAAAAAGTCACCAAATCTTAACCCAGTACCTCAGAAAATGAGACAGGATTACTCATGGCGTTGCTGAGAGTATAATTCAGCCAAAACCAGATTGGAGTAGGGTGTGCTCCTAATTGGGTTTGACTGATGTTATTATACAAGAAGGGAGTCTGCATACAGAAACAGGAAGAATATGACATGAAGAGAGTGAAGCTGCCACAAGCCAAGACGCACCTGAACCGTCAGCAGCTATAGGAAGCTAGGAAGGGTTCTCAACCTGTGGGCTTGGGTGGAGCCCTTACTTGACTAGTTCTACTTTGATTTTAGACAGCCAGCCTCTAGAACTATAGAAAACGTTTTCTATTGTCCTTACTGCCCAATTCATTATACTTTCCTTCAGCAGCCTTAATAAATGGATCCACACCTCAAAGTAAGTTTTGGCTAACGTACCATCAAATTAGATCAGTTTTTACAAAAGTTTCATAATGCCACAATGAACCACAGTGGACGGAAATGGTAGCAAAGATAGCCTTATAAAATTTCATACTGCCCCATGAAAAATACTGTAAGAAATAAAGCTTTAGTTTTATGTACTGAAATGTCTATAAAGTAAATTAGAATTTCAAAACTGGGAAATAGAATGCTGAGAGATTACAAGGCAGGATTAAGGAGAATTTCATACTGCCCCATGAAAAATACTGTAAGAAATAAAGCTTTAGTTTTATGTACTGAAATGTCTATAAAGTAAATTAGAATTTCAAAACTGGGAAATAAAATGCTGAGAGATTACAAGGCAGGATTAAGGAGAATCAAACCAGTGTAATCATATGTATGTTATTAACTTTAAAAACTTACATTGTTTTATGTCTTTGTAGTAATTGCCAGTTTTCTCATTAGCAGGAGTACCGTCTTCATTTTCTTCTGATTTATGTATAACAGAATTAGCATCCACATTTTTTTCATCTTCACGAAGAGGGGCATTATTGGCCTGATTCTCATCATCTGAATAATACTGTTCTTCATCTGAAGACATCCCATCTGATTCCTCTGGAAAAAAAAAAAAAACATGACACACCGTGGAACAAAGTATGCTCATTTTTTTTCTACTGCTTTCTCTTGTTAAGATTTTTTTCACAATTAGAAACTGAGATTTAGAAGTTAAATTATATCACATCTCCAACGTTCAATTATTCTGCAGAAAATACACTGGATTCTGTGACTGAGGATCATCCTTCTGATTGACTAATTTTAAGCGTTTACTTACGTTCCACACTCGACTGTAGATTGCTAATGTCTGGGAGGAAAATCCCAGACAAAAAGATAAACAATATAAAATCCATTGGGAAATTGATGTGATTTATCCAGCAATCTACTGTCTCCTCGGGGCTTCCTTCTTGTGGCCCAGCAGGCCCCAAGACTCAGTAGGACATTATGACATCACTGTTCCTGGGAAACAGAATGCCAGGGAAATGCCCAGAGCTTTGTGATTCCAACTTATGGCCGTTTCATTTTTGGTGTTAACAATAGTCTTAGTTTTTAAACATAAAATTTTTCATTTGAAAGGTAACAAATGTGTTTTCAGAAAATAATGTTAGTTATTGGCCCATGAATTATTTAAAAAAATCAGTCTTATTGATAATGACATAAAAACTTTTGGAACTTAGGGGTTTTGTTTTTAATGATATGTTTTGGATAGCTGCTAAAAACAAAACAACAACAACAAAATACAACAAAATAAAAATCTAGTCAGAGAAAGCAAAACTCAAAAAATCCAAATGCCCTTCAAATTCTCATTCATAAACTATTTGACTATAATTCTTCAAGAAATACGTTACAAACTATCTTTTTTATTTTAAGAATTATTTTCATTGTAAGGTATAACATATTTGTTTTGCTTAATACATTTTTTCCAATGAGGTCCAACTTCTACTTCACATTTCAATTGAGAAAATTATCCAATAATACTTAGCTAGTTAAAAGGTGACTCCAGGCCGGGCGGTGGTGGCGCACACCTTTAATCCCAGCACTCGGGAGGCAGAGGCAGGCGGATCTCTGTGAGTTCGAGGCCAGGCTAGACCGATAGCCTCCGAAACAATACAGAGAAACCCTGTCTCGTAAAAACCAAAAAAAAAAAAAAAAAAAAAAAAAAAAGGTGACTCCAGTATGAATAACCTTGTACATGATTACTCACATAATAATTAATGAGCAATAAAGACAGAGAATGGATTGAAATTATTACAGGATCGCCTAAATTTGAAGTGTACTAACTTTAATTATTATTGATGATAAACCCTCCACATCAGATGATAGAGTTGCACTTACAACGTAAGCACCAGGAAAGACAGAATAATGCCACGGACTTTATGTTTGTCTTCAGTGAAGGGGAAAGTCGTAAGTGAAGTACCTTCACTAATGGTGCCTGGTGACACGGAGGACAGACTCAGCAGAGGATAATGACTTACGAGGATAAAAAAAGCAAAGATAATGTGTCCAAAGAAAGACAGCAAAGCAAGTGAGGTTCTTGACCGAATTCTTAGTCAACCAAAGGGAAATGACTCCAAATTTAGCACTGGACTCGTCCCGTCATCTCAAGGAAGAACCTGAAGGTGGAAAAGACTGAGCTGGCAAATCTCTAGAGAGCTTTCTTTCCTCTAGTGTAGTGGTTTTCAGCCTGTGGGGCCTGTCCCCTTTGGGGATCAAATGACCCATTAGCTATCCTGCATATCAGATATTTACATTACAATTCACAACAGTAGCAAAATTACAGTTATGAAGTAGCAATGAAATAATTTTATGGTTGGGGGTTGCCAGAACATGAGGAACTGTGCCTTTCTAACGTGGTTCAACACAGGAAGTCAGAGAATCAGGGGTCAAACATGCCTCATGTTGCTGCAAGCCATCAAACACCTTTGGATAATGTAACTAACCTATGATGAAATTTAACAGACATCCTGGGGATATGGAACATAATAGAATCATATTATGCCTGGTGGTACAGAAGAGGCAGAGCTGGAGAAACATGTTTGCCTAGGTCTACACAAATCTTGTCAGGCAGCAAGTGATATATGAAATACTGTGGCATTGTATTTAGTTCAGGAATCCCTAAATGCCAAAAGTCAATTTGGCATTTTGAAGACACAAATAGAATTTTCTTTATTGTTTCATCATCATCATCATCATCATCATCATCATCATCATCATCATCATCTCTCTCTCCACCGAGTCCTCCAAGGCTAGCCATTCTTTTTCTTTGAAACAGGGTCTCTCTATATAGCCTTGGCTGTCCTAGAACTTATGTAGACAAGGCTGACCTCAAACTCACAGAGGTCCACCTGCCTCTGCCTCCTGAGTACTGCCCTTTTTATTTTCTGATGGGACAAATACTTTCCATAGGAAACTGAGTTGCTAGAATGAAAATACAGAAGGTTATATAGATAAGACTTCATGACACTAAGATGTTTAAATGCTGGCCCCAATTTCCTGTCTTAGAACAGTACTATTTCTAGTGTATATTGCTAGATGCTATAGATTGAATTGTATCTGCCTCAAATTTGTATGTTGAAGTCCAAACCCTGAGCATTTCAAAACACAACTGTGATTAGAGCTGAGATTACTAGAGGGATGGAAGATGGATATCACAGAGGAATCACGATCTGCAAGAGTCCACGGGTAATGAGCCAGGGGGAGATGGAGAACAGCTATCAGTAGAGGTTATGACACTCTGTAGTTTCCGCAGCTACATAAAGTAGGAAATTTTACAAAGGGGAAAAGCAAAGTGCAGGTATTTGTGGAGTCTAGAGACCACTCCCCTCCTGAGTGGAGTTCAATTTCAGTGTTTTAAAGGGCAGAATGAGAGGATGAATGGAGACAAAAGTAGCAGTGATGGACAGGTTGGGAGGGGGAGTACTGTAAGTTTCCTTTTTGTGCACTTGGTTGGAGCAATGATGCAAAGTCTGTCTATATATACATATTTATTTATATTTTAGCTTCCCCATTTTTTTGTTTTAGAAAGGGACTCACTATGTAGCCCTTGCTATGTAGAGCAGGCTGGCCTAAACTCACAGAGACATGCCTGCCTCCAGTAGTGCTGGGATTCAAAAGCGTGTGCTTCCACATGCGTGTAGAGTCGGCACCCTAGCTACTCTCTGACCCACACTCTCTGGGACCCCAGAGCAAGTGCTGTGGTGCTATATGCTGGGACCTGAGCATCAGAGAGCCTCATGGCTGTGAGAAAACTGAATCAGCACCCTGGAGTATCGAATGAGTTGAAAATTGGTAAGAACCAGCATCTATGAACTGACATAAGTTCAAAGTGTGCACACCTGGCATCGGGAAGGAACACCCAGTGGCACAGACAGCATTCACACATGATGTATGAGGGACCACCAAGGGGTCTGATCAGCATTTGTGACCTGACTGACCCATGAAGGCTGTATTTCCTATGTCTTTCATATTAAACTCCAGTACAGATAATGACCTACAGAAAGCTTGCATAGTCAACTAGTTTGGAAAACACTTGTAACACCTTCCTTTAGATAGCTATGGCCACAATGTTAGTCTAAAGGCTCAAAACAAACTCCAGCAAGAAACCCTTTCAAAATTTTTCCATTTCAAATATTAACCAGCTTTTTTTCTTACAAGGAACTAGTTCGATAAGAGCATTTGCATGTGGACTACCATGTTGACTAAGAACGCTCGGCAAGAATAGCGATGAAAATCTTAGCTACGTCAGGTTGACTTTCCAGTGGGTTTTTAGAAACTTGTGTGTGCACATGTTGTGGAGGCAGCCAGAAGAGAGTCTTGGATATCATCTTCAGAAACACTGTGCAGGTCCTTTCTCTCTTCCATCTCCTACATTCCACTCACTCCTCAATCTCTCGTTCTCTCTGTTCCTGTCTTCTCTCTCCACTGTCTCTCCTCTCCCCTCTCTGTTCTCTTTCCTGTGTCCTTCCACCTCTATCTCTCCTCTCCACCTATGATCTTTCTTCTGTCTTCCTTTCCCGCCCTCTCTTCTCTCACTTTCCTTCTTTCTCACTTGTTTCTCTCCCCTCTATCTCCTCACTCTCTCTCCCTTCTCCCTTTTCTCCCTCTTGTCTTTTCCTCCTCATTCTCCTGCTCTGTCTTCTCTCTTCCCCTCTTACCTGTCTTTCCCTTCTCCCTCTGCACTCTGTCATCTCTCTCTTCTCTTCCCTCTCTCTCTTTTGCCAATCCTCTCTCCCATTTTTCCTTTCTCTCTCTTCTTTTGTTCTTATTCCTCTCTCTCCAATCTCATTCTTCTCTCTCTACCCTTACCCCACCCCTTCTCTTACCCCCACTTTCTTCACTCTTTCTTACATGTCACTCTCCCCTTTCTCTATGTCCTACCTCTCCTCGTCTCTCTTCTCCAACTTTCCTCTCTCCTCCACCTCTCGCCTGTCTTTTTCTCCCCTCTCTATCATCTCTCCTCTCTTACGCATCTCTCCCCCCTTCTCCCCCTCCCCCTTCCATCCTGCCATCACTTTCTCACCTTTATCTCACATCTCCTTCCCCTACATCCTCCTTCCTCTCCAACTCTTGCTCTCTCCTATGTCTCCCCTTTCTCCTCACTCTCTCACTTTCTGCCCTCTCTGTGCTCTCTTCTCCTTCCCCTATCTCTCACATATACTCTTGCCTCTCTCTTCCTTCAATCCCCCATGTTCTCCTCCTTCCCTCTACTCCATTCTCCTGCCTCACACTCCTCTTTCACCTCCTACTGTGTTCTCTGTTATCTTTCTCTACCCTTACCCTCACCCCTTCTCTCTTTCCCTTCTCTCTCCTTTCTGTTTCAGTCCTCACACTTATATCTCACTTTCCCTGCCCTGTTTCTGTCTCCTCTCCTTTCTTTACTGTCTCTATCCTCTTTCTCCACTCTCTCCTCCTCTCTCCTATGTCTCCCCCTCTTGTTTCCCCTCTCCCTGTTACATTGTTATCTCTTCTCTCTCTTTCATCTGTATTGCTTCTCTCTCTCTCTGTGTGTCTCTCTCTCTCCATCATTAACAACATAGCAGAAAGATGCACCTGTATAGATGTACAAATACCTTAAGTAGAACAGCAGGTCACATTTTTTTGAATAGTGCAGTTTACTGGGATACACAAGTACATGGTGCAAATAGAGGTTATTGTACAGCAGCAATAATGAGAAAGAAAGACAGAAGGAAGAGAGGAGAGGGAGAACAGGAGAGTGAGGAAAATCATAGAGGAGAGAGAACACAGAGGGGATGGTGAGAGAGGAGAGAGTGATGTGGGAGTGAGGGACAGAGACATAAGATGGAGGGAAGGGGAAAGAGAAGGGGAGAGAGACAAATGAGAGAGAAAATGAGGGAGAGGAGACAGGGAGAGAAGGATAGGAGAGAGGGTGAGAGGAAGTGAAGATAGAAGACATGAATTAAGAAGAGAAAGGGG